AAAAGGTGTTATTCTTTTTGATGCTATTATAAATGGAATCATTTTCTTCCTTTTGAGACTGTTCATCGGTAAATGTATAGAAATGCTTCTTCTTTAGCACTTTACGCTGTTTTTTTTTTCTTTTTGGTCCAATTGTTCTAACTAGGACTAGTATTATTCTGAATGAAAGTGACACATGCAGTATTCCGGTCTTGTTCCTGGTGGTAGACTAAAAGCCTTTGTGTTTCACAACTGAGAATTAAGTTACCCGTGAACTTTTCTTCTTGTGACCTTTTTGTGTCGAGGTATTTTTCCTGTATTTCTAAGAGTATCTCTTTTCCTCTCTTTTTAAATTGAAAACTCTGACTACTTCCTTGTAAGAGTTTCCTTCCAAGTCACAATGAATCCACAGGCCAGGAATCCAAGTCCTGTTAGGCTGAGAAGTCTTCAGACTGGAACCCTTCCAGCTACTAAGGTCATCAGAGAGTCTGCGCTACTTTTGTTCCGTCATAAATAATAAAGAATGAATGTCCTTTTTTGTTTTTAGTTTATGGAAATATTCCCTGCCCTAGAGACACACGGCAATGCCAAGCTGGCTCTCCTTACTACACACGGAAGTGTATGGAAAGAACAAGCTGATGTCTTTTTTTTTTTTTTTTTTTGGTCCTGTCGTGGGGCCTGAACTCTGGGCCTGGGCACTGTCCCTCAGCTCTTCAGCTCAAGGCTAGCGCTCTACCACTTGAGCCACAGCGCCACTTCTGGCTTTTTTCTTTTTGCTTATGTGGTGCTGAGGAATCAAACCCAGGGTCTCATGCATGCAAGGCAAGTGCTCTACCACTGAGCCACCTTCCCAGCCCTAGCTGAACTTTTTGTTTTGTACCAGTGCTGGGGTTTGAACTCGGACCCTGGGATGCTGTCCCTGAGCTCAAGGCTATAGTGCTTTACCACTTGAGAGATAGCCTCCATTTCTGGATTTTTGAGAATTAATTGGACAGATGAGTCTCCACAAGACTTTTCTTCCCTGGGCTGGCTTTGCACCGTGATCCTCAGATCTCAGCTCCTGAGTAGCTAGGATGACAGGCGTGAGCTCTGGGCATCTGGCTATATTCAAACTCATTGAATCAATGGATGCTTGAAGCCTCGAGGTGTTGTAGCTGTTGTTGGCTGTGGTCATCTCCCACACCAGCTCCCTGCTTAGTGGGTTTCCATCATCTGATGCCGGGGTGTGGGGGGGGTGCTGTCCTCTCACAGGGCCTCCTGGGTCTTCAGGCTGAGGGCATTGCTTGAAGAACCCGACTCCCACTGCTCAGGTCCAGCCTGGAAGGGCCCGCAGCGGCCCTGGGCCGTGCACACGGCGGCTGTGACGTGACGTGACAAAGTCCTTAGGGACACAGACTCAGGGCTGGTTTCTATCCCCCCCCCCATGGCTCCACACAGGCAAAAGAGCGTGCGCGCCCTCTATTGGCGACTTCCTGCCACAACGGGGCAGACGTGCTGGCCTCCATCAGCCCTGCCACATCCTGGATGGGTGGAGGCTGCCTCCTCCCTTCACAGCCCTGAGGCTCCTGCCAGGCCACCTCCTCCAGCTCGGGGTTCATAGGTAGGGCAAGCCCCCGACCCCAGAGGATAAACCAGAACACACACACACACACACACACACACACACACACACACACACACTAAGACCAGTGGCTATGGCAGTTAGGAAGAAAACTAAGGTGTTGAAAAACAAATAATCCCATTGGCAAAACTTGGTCCAAAATCTGTGGAGCTATCAGCATGGACGCTGCCAGTCCCGTCCTGCGAGTGAGTGCTTCAAGTTCCTTACTCTTTTTTTTTTCCATGTCCTGCAGTTAATTTAGATAAATAGTATTTTACATGATCAGAGGCCTTTTTGCATTCCTCCCCCAAAAACTATCCTCCTTTGGTGTCTCTGTGTGTGGATGCCTAGAGTCTTGTATAATTGATCATGTCCCCAGGGTACTTTGGCTCTAGCTTCTACAGGTGAGAGAGAACCTGTGTCATTTGTCTTTCTGTGCTTGGCTTATATCTCCCTTAACATGATTTGGTCTAGGTCCACCCATTTCCCTGCAAATGACATCTTATTATGCTTTCTAATGGCCGTGTAAAATTCCATTGTGTATAGATAGGCACCCCAGTTTTTGGATCCACTTCTCTGATGTAGGGCATCCGGGCTGTGCCCACAACTTGGCTATTGTGAACAGTGTGGCAGAGAACATCGTCCTCCATTCTTTATGGCACCCAGCCAGTCAAGTGATTAGTACGGTACCTGCTTGAAGTTTCCGGAGGTGTCTCCACACCATCAACTTCCTCAGGAAAGGAGTGGAGCCCCTCCTTTAGGAACCATTGAACAACAGTTTGGAAAGAATAGATGCATCAGGACAGTCAAAACTGTCTTGAGAAGGAAAGGCATCATGGGAGGCTCACACTTCCTTATTTGAAAATAACTTACTTCATTTCTCCAGTGAACAATGACATGCCTAAGACCCACAGCGACCCCAGGATGTGAACTGAGAGACCAGAGACAAGCCTTCATCATTTAAGCTTGGGATAAGTATCGAAAAGAAGTTAGAGGGTAGCCGGGTGCTGGTGGCTCACGCCTGTAATCTTAGCTTCTCAGGAGGCTGAGATCTGAGGATCTTGGTTCAAAGCCAAGAAAGTCCATGAAACTCTTATCTCTAATAAACCACCAGAAAACCGGAAGTGGTGCTGTAGCTCAAGTGGTAGAGTGCTAGCCTTGAACTGAAGAGCTGAGGGACAGTGCTCAGACCCTGAGTTCAAGTCCCACGACCAGCGGAAAGAAAGAGAGAGAGAGAGAGAGAAAGGAAGGAAAGAAGGAAGAAGTTAGAGGGTAAAGAAGAAAGTTTTTAAATAATGGTGCTGGGATAGCTACATAACAACAAGCAGAAGAATGAGCTTTGGTCAGCACGGGTGGCTCATGTTAATAATCCTAGCTACTCAGGAGGCTGAGATCTGAGGATCAGGGTGCAAAACCAGCCCGGGCAGGAAAGTCTGTGAGACATGTATCTCCAATAAACCATCAGAAAACTGGAAGTAGTGTTATGGCTCAAGTGGTAGAGCACTTGCCTTGAGCTGAATAGCTGAGGGACAGTGCCTAGGCCCAGAGTTCAAGCCCTACAACCAACCAAAAAAAATGAGTTTTTATAGACTATATTCTCATTGTATTAAAAAAAAAAGATTTCTGTTACGCATTAGTAGGTTACGCCTTTTATCTTAGCTACTTAGGAGGTTGAGATCTGAGGATCACAGTTCAAAGCCAGAGAGGCAGTCTGTGAGACTCTTATATCTCCAATTAAGCACCAAAAAGTTGGAAGTGAAAATGTAGCTCACGTGATAGAGCACTAGTGTAAAGCACTGAGTTCAAGCCCCAGGACCAGCAAGCGTACTTACACACACACACACACACACACACACACACCAAAACAAATCAACCTATAAGTAGAAAACAGCTGATAGAACAAAACAAAGGGCAAATCTTTCTAGCCTTCTATTTTATTTAGCTATAGATTCTTAGATATCACACAAAAGCAGGAACAGCAAAAGGAAACTGATAAATTAGACCTCACCCAGGCCTTTGGCTTTCATTTGTCTTGGGGACAGGATCCCGCTAACTTGCCTGGGCTGGCCTCAAACTTGCAAACCTCCTTCCTTCACCTCCTGGGTACCTGAGACAGTTGCACATCACCATGCCCTTGTTGGGGGCAGGATTCAAGTAGCAGAGCACCTACCTAGCCACATGCAGGGCCTTGAGTTCAAACCCTAGTTCTGAGGGGGAAAATCAGTCTTTAAGGATGATATATTAAACATATCTACTAGCCAGGCGCTGGTAGCACACACCTATAATCCTAGTTACTCCGGAGGCTGAGATCTGAAGATCACCATTCAAAGCCAGCCCAGGCAGGGACGTCTGTGAGACTCTTATCTCCAATGAACCACCAGAAAACCAGAAGTGGCGCTGTGGCTTAAGCGGCAAAGCACTAACTTTGAGCAAAAGATGTTTAAGGACAGCACCCAAGCTCTGAGTTCAAGCCCCACAACTAACCCAAAATAAATAAATAATAAAATAAGATACAAAACAAATAAAACACACCCACTCTGGACAGTTCATCTTTGTTCTGGTCATATACAGATACTTCAAACCTTCGGAGTGGTTGGAGGCATGGCTCAGTTGGTAGAGTGCCAGCCAGAGAATGAAAGAATCAGGTACTGAGTTTTGAGTCCTGGTCTTGGGCAAAAATAAAAATACCTTCTGCACCAGGAGCTCCCAGGACTTAGAGACAAAGAGACACATCCCTAGACAGTGTCCTTGCTGTAAAGTCTCCAGAGACACATGCCCCAGGCTTGCTTGTGAAATCTGGGGACAGATCGCTCCTCCTGAGACCATTCTTCCCTGGATACACAGCTGCAACTCGACCCTGAGGATGGGGGCTATGGGGGGGGGCGTCTCTGAATAGCTGTCCTCTTCCTAATCACACCCTGCACTGGATGGGAGCTGGGCAGACTGGGGGCCCTCGGTAAATAGCATCCGAGATGGTCAGGGCCCTGAAGCCTCAGGGTCAGAGCCCACCTGCACCCAGAGGTCAGGGCGTCTGGAGTTGGGTCGGTAGTCACGCCGCAGTCCTGGCCCCGGGGCTGTATGTCTGCTCATGGCCTCCAGGGGGCGATATTGGAACACACAGGAATTCCCAGCCCAAGGAATCCCTGGGGCCTGAACCTGGCTTGGATTCAGGAGGTGGAGATGCAATCCGACTTCTGCCCCTGGCTCTGTGGAACTCCACTAAGTCTTTCCCGTGTGGCCTGTTCCATCCTGTCTGCTGCTTCCCTGTCTCTGAGGACTCTGTTCTGCCAGGTGTCTCAGCGCCGACCCCTCCCTCCTGCCATGGGAGGCAGGCTAGACAGCCAGAGGGGCAGAGGACAAAGGACAAAGGCCACCCAGAGAAATCAGCCCTGAGGCGCTGCTCAGTCAACAGTCCCTGGAGATGGGGGAATCTCCCGGTACCCCTGGGCTGAGGATGCCGGAGCCTGGGCGTTCTCCATTGTCATCACCACCACAGCTGCCTTCCCACCACATCGGGGTCAGCTCCTGAAGACACTGCTCCCCCCTGGCTGTCCCTGGATCTGGTCCCCCGGCACCAGCCACGACTCAGGTGATCCATTCCTAGCCCCTCCCCTCTTCTAGAGTCTTCTCTGTCACTTTCTTGCCACAGGAGAATCCCACTGGGCTTGCTGGCTTTCTGAGTCCTGAAAGGGAAACACTTCCCTGGGTTTGAAGACCCCCAAGGGGTCACAAGCCCCCACCCCCACCCCCAAGCCAGGATACCAGTGTGGCGCTAAGGTGAGCCGGTCCTACAGCGGGCAGGGGCCCCTAAAAACCTTGCTGCTTCTCACAGCGTGCTGGGGTGGGGGGACTGAAAACCTACACGGAGGAAAGGCAAAGAGGAACCGGAGGCAGAACCTGCGGGGAGGGGGAAGAAGGGGGAGGAGGAAGAGCGGAGGAGGGAGGAGGGAGAGAGGGGCAGGCCGTGGTGACAGATCCCACCCACCCCCATACCATGTGACTCTAGGAAGTGCTCCAGCCCAGAGAGGAGGCTCAGCTCAGAGGGCAGAGCTGACGCCCTCCGGAGCAGCCACGCTTGGGAGTGGGTCTGGAATCGAGGTTTTCCCCTTCTAGGTAGAAAGGCACCATGGAGCCCCGCTCAGCCTCTCCACGCAGGGGATGTGTCCCCTGGCTCGGGCTGCTGCTCACAGGTGAGGGGACGGCTCCCTGGGTGGGAGGGAGAAGGAGAAGAGCTGAGGGGAGGGGGGGGGACGAGACACAGAGGGTTTCTAGTGGGGGCCTGAGCGGCGGGACAAGGCTCCGCCACAGAAAACTGTCCACGAGGTGGAAGTGCTAAATAGGGAGGAAAAGGTCCACTGGTTCCAAGTTACCCGTGACTGGTCAGCTGTATTTTAAAAACGGATATGACACCTGTGTCTCTGATCACCAAAGAAAAACCAACCAGATCAGCCAACCAACCTGTCCTTAGCCACCAAACTCAGAAGTTGCCAAATAAAGCCCGTGGACACGCAAGGCCCTGGGAAGGCCACTTCATTCATCCACGGGGGATCTGAGCCTGGTCAAGGCCCTGGGGGGCACCACAGAGACCACAGCATCCCTGTTCCCACAGGGCTCCCGCCCCTGCCGGGCAGCAAGACCCAGTGAGGGCATCTAGAATGGGGGGCCAGGGGGGTGACAAGAGCCACAGAGGGTTCACAGCAGGGAGAGGGGAGAAAGCAGAGCCCCAGGGTCTCTAGAGGAGAGGTTCAGGGAAGGTGTCTCCCCAGGACACCCCGAGTGAGAGGGCAGCCAGGGGTGAGCCGTGAAGCCCTCTGGGAAAAGTACTGCACACAGAGAGGGGGTGGCAAGTTCAGGGGCAGTGAAGAAATGGAGGTCATGTTGCTGGCAGAGCCAGCAGGAGACAGACAGACACAGACACACAAGACAGGGGGTTCAAGACACTTTCTCGGGCTCCATTTTCCATCCCATACCAGGGTCTCATTCTTGATGGGCTTCTCTCTCACCCCTCCCAGCCTCCCTTTTAGCCCTGTGGCCCCCACCGGTGACAGCTCAGCTCACGATCGAATCCGTGCCACCCAATGCCGCTGAAGGACAGACCGTTGTCCTGAAGGCCCACAACCAGCCCCCGAATGCTGAACTCTATCGCTGGTACAAAGGGGAAACTACAGAGGAAAGCCATCGCCTTGGAGCGTTTTCAACAAGCTCGAATCAAAGCACCCCGGGCCCTGCCCATAGCGGCCGAGAGACCATCCGGGAGGATGGATCGCTGCTTTTCCAGAGTGTCACCGTCAATGACACTGGAGTCTACACCCTGGACATCTTAGAACGTGATTTTGCCAGTAAGAGGGCATCTGGACGGTTCCAAGTATTCGGTGAGTTCACTGTGGCCTCTGGGCGCAGGAACATAGGTGTGTGGGGATGGGCTGTGTGCCCACCTTACCCTCTGCTTTCTGTTGTCCTGTTGCTGGAGGTTGCTCTCTGGATGAGGCATGCACAGTAGAAACAGATTTGCAAGGACAGGAATCCTTCACCTGAATCCAGAGTGAGAGAGAGAGAGACAGAGACAGAAAGAAAGAGAGAGAGACAGAGACAGAGACCAGTAGCCAGATAGGGTAACGGTCTCCCCCACATTTTTCCCCCAGGAACATGGGCTAAGAAAGAACCTGTAGGACGTAGGCAAAGCCTGGCTTAGGGGAGCCCTAAGATCTTGGCAAACAAGCTCAGCCCTAGAGTGCCTCTGCATGCTCTCTCTCTCTCTCTCTCTCTCTCTCTCTCTCTCTCTCTCTCAGGTTCCTCTCCTCACTCTGGAAGGGAGCTTCTGGCCACAGCTGGAATTCTGCCTCCTGTCGGGGCTGAGGAGTCATGATTTTTCTGCCTGTCTGAATGTCATAAACTCTGGGAACTACCCTGAGAGCCTCACCGGGGGGAGGGCTTCCTGGCATCTGCTTTGCAGACTCAGTACGGCAAGCACGGAGGGTCAGACACACCAAGCCATTACACCAAGGCCCTGAGGGGCTTTTGAGACTCAAGGCCAGTGTGTGGGGATAGAGACCTCAGCTCAGGATGGGATTCTCTCTTGGAGGAGCTGTTGATGTGGGTGGCTCCTCTCTAGCCCCGTAAGCTGGAGGTTGTTTACCATGTGTCCTAGGAAAGGGAAACTAAGGCATGGAGCAATATGGATGTGGAATCAGGGTCATCAGACCATGGGGTGGCAGATCAGAGGCTTGGGATGATTGTCTATGTCCACAGCCCTGTCCTCCCCTGCCCAGGGACTTACTAGGTGTCTGTGGACCAAAGAGGAACTCTTGGTTCAGAGACTTTAACCTCAGGGGTCAGCAGTATGGAAGGAGAGTCTGGTCCGGGTTAGTGAGAACCAATGGACAAGTACAGTTCTTACCTTAGAACTAAACTCAACTTCTTTCAGGCAGCCCTCAAAGAAGGTGCTGGATTTTCCCCTCTGCTGACCTCTCTTGGACTTAAAATGTGTGCTATGGAGGAGAGAACTTTGCTGCTTCCCTCCCCACTAGGCCCCGCACACAACACAGGGCCCAGTGTACAGTCAACTCTCGGGTGTTTTGTTGGGTGGCTTTTTTGGGATTGCCTGTCCTGGCTGGGGCTTGAACTCAGGGCCTGTGCATGGTCCTTGAGCTTCTGTGCTCAAGCCTCTACCACTTGAGCCACAACATCACTTACATCATTTCTTGATGGCTCATTGGTGCAAAGTCTCAGGGACTTTGCTACTTGGGGCTGGTTTAGAACCATGATCCTCCTATCTCAGTTTCCTGAGTAGCTGGGATTATATAGGCTTGAGCCACTGGCACCTAGCTAACTCTCAGGAGTTTTAGGATAGGGGTGAGGAGAATGAACTTGAATCAATGAATGGAGGGCCTAGGACTCTCTTCAGAGACTGGAACGTGACTTGCTGTGTCCTAACCATTTCTGGCCACACCTGCTCCCAGTCCCTGCTGGAGGCTGAGATCCCCATTCCATTTCTCCGATCTGTTTCTCAGGTGACCTCAGCTGGGCTGGGGTGAGGCCTGAGGGTGAGGCCCACTCAGCCTGAGTCAGCCATGATGCTTCTGGTCTCTGGGGCAGTTGAAGTCCTTATAGCGCCTGCTGTATGCTGTCATGGGTATTTCCCACTCTCTCTGCCTCTTTCCTGCTGATCAGCTTCCTGTCTATTCCCGGCTGTTGTCCCCTTGCTCCCAGGCTGATAACAGAGGTGCCAGCAGCAGGGCAGGACTGGCAAACCACAAAGCCCTATAATCTGCCATTCTGTTCACTTTTTTTTTTTTTTGGTCAGTCATGGACCTTGAACTCAGAGCCTGGGCACTGTCTCTGAGCTCCTTTGCTCAAGGCCGGCACTCTACCACTTGGAACCACAGTACCACTTCTGGTTTTCTGGTGGTTCCGGGGAGTGAAGAGTCTCACAGGCTTTCCTGCCCAGTCTGGCTTCGAACTGTGATCCTTAGATCTCGGCTTCCTGAGTAGCTAGGATGACAGGTGTGAGCCACCAGTGGCCTCTGCCAAACTTTTTTCACGTCTTACTCCTTCCTGGTCCCAGTGTGAGTGTGTGGGGGAGGGGTGTGTGCTTCACCATCTTCCAGACTCTGGGGAGCCAGCCTACACACCCATGTCCTCATGATGACCTCAAGGTCAGGAAGCTTGTCTTGAACAAAGTAGCTATCATTTCTGTCAGATTCTGCATGTTTGGAAGAATTTAATAAAAATCGTATCTGGGATTGATTGCTAGGAGCAAAGGGAAGGAAGAAAGCAATTCATATCCCTGTGGATCTCCACTGGGGACCTAGACCTCTGAATTTACTAAAATGAATCTCTTACAATAGGAATACCTCAAACTTCCCCTGAGAGCCCCTCTGTAGTCAGAGAGTTTCTGATTCTAAGCAGCTTTGGCATGTCTCGTGTGTGTGTGTGTGTGTGTGTGTGTGTGTGTGTGTGTGTGTGTGTGTGTACATGCCCCACCAGTATTGGGGCTTCAACTTGGGACCTCCCACTCACACTTGGCTTTTTCAATCAAAGTGAGTGCTCTAGCACTTGAGCTATACCTCCATTCCCTGCTTTTTGCTGAGTATTTAGAGATTCCCCACTTTTTGCTGGTTGTTTGGAGTCTTGGGTTTTGTCTGCCTGGGCTGGCTTTGAATCTCAATCCTCAGATCTCAGCCTCCTGAATAAGCTGGGATTACAGACTTGAGCTATTGGTATGCAGACAGCCTCTGTCTTTATTATGTGACTAACAGAACTCAGAGTTTGGCCTGTTACACTCTCTATGGGAACTGGTCTGATAATACTTTTCTTTTTTCTGGTCGTGGGGTCTGAACTCTGGGCCTGGGTGCTGTCCCTCCGCTCTTCAGCTCAAGGCTAGTGCTCTACCACTTAAGCCACAGCGCCACTTCTGGCTTTTTCTGCTTATGTGGTGCTGAGGAATCGAACCCAGGACCTCATGCATACAAGGCAAGCACTCTACCACTGAGCCACCTTCCCAGCCCTGATAATACATTTTTTTTAACTTACCTACTCAAATTCCTATAGTAGATCTGATGAATATATATGGCCCGTGAGGGTCAGATTGCCATATTTCTGTTGATTGTGGGGTTTGAACTCAGGACCTGGGTGCTGTCCATGAGCTCTTCTGCTCAAGACTAGCATTCTACCACTTTCAGCCACAGCTCCACTTCCAGTTTTCTAGTGGTTTACTGGAGATAAGAGTCTTACGGAGTTTTCTGCCTGGGCTGGCTTTGAATTGCAATCCTCAGATCTCAGCCTCCGGAATAGCTAGGATGAGTAGCTAGGCATGAGCCACCGGTGCTTGGCTCAGATTGCTTTGTTTCATTGTCACTTTTCTACCATTCAGTTCTTCTGTACTTGGAAACTTGAACCCATGTTCCTGGGAGGACTGCCATGGCCCTTCCCCTTCCCTGCAGGGAAGGGATATTAACTGAAGATGTAACTTTGACTGTTCCAAGGCCTTGTCTGTCACCCCCATTCTAACCTAGATCATTCTAACCTAGAGTCAATCACCTGAGAATCTCGACAGAACTGCTCACCTTGTGGCCCCCCCTAAAACCAGAACCTGGGGCCAGTCCTTGGTCCTGAGCTCAGGTGTATGACTGACTCACAAGACTGGTCTTCATGTCGGGCTGAAGGAGACTGCCATGATTCATCTCTAGGACAGCCTTGAAAGGCAAAGTCTCAGAGGACACATACACCCAGGCCAGACAGGGAGGTCTGTGTCCTTGGAGGTGCTCCATCTAGATGTGTCTAGCAGTGGGGCAGTGAGGACCATGAGACGTGCTAGACATCTCTGTCTAGGTCCTGGGTCTGTCACTCACATGACCACACATGCGTGGCCCCCATGTTTTCTGAGTACTCAGGTCTCTGGGCATCTGTTGAGAGTTTCACCCTTCCTGCATGTTAAGGACTCCAAGGCTGGCTGGGAGGAGGGACGGCGCCCAGGCTAGTAGACAGAGGCCTTTACGGGGGTCATAGGGACCACACAGAGCAATCTTTCTCTCTGTCGTCCATGCAGCCAAGTTACCCAAACCCTTCATCACAAGCAACAACTCCAGCCCCATGGAGGGGGAGGACTCTGTAGAATTAACCTGTGATCCTGAGACAGAGAATACAAACTACCAGTGGTGGATAAATGGCCAGAGCCTTCCAAATGACACCAGACTGCACCTGTCCCCAGACAACAGGATTCTCACTTTATTCCATGTCACGAGGAATGACATGGGGCCCTATGAGTGTGGAACCTGGAATCTAGTGAGTGACAACCGAAGTGATCCATTCACCTTGAATGTCTCCTGTGAGTAGCTTCTATTTCTCCATCATCCTGCCTGCCCAGCCTAAAGACACAGTCCTAGGGCAGAGACCCTTCACCCCCAGACACCCAGGCTGCCTAAAACCATCTCCATCACTCCCAAGTACATCCAGGCAGCCATAGCTAAGGAATGGAAGTGCAGGGATTGGGGGTGTGGGGGTATGTTCTCTTGGCGGGACAGAGCTTGTGTCAGACTCAAGCCCAGTGAATACAACAGGATAAAGTTGGGGTTTTTCAGTGGTTTAAGGTTTTTTTTCTGTGCATGGACCCAGGGCCCTGTGCACACTCAGCAAAGTGCTCCATCAATGCATACAGTCCCAGCTTTGGATGGCACTGTTTTCATTTAATTATTGATTTGGGGGGGTCAGTTGTGGGGTTTGAACTCAGAGCCTAGGTACTGTCCCTTAGGTTTTTTTATTTGGTTTGGTTGTTTTTTGTTGTTGTTGTTGTTATTGTTCAAGGCTGACATTCTGCCACTGAAGCCACAGCGCCAATGTCTGGCTTCTTGCTGGCTCACTGGAGATAAGGGTCTCCCAGAAACTAGCTAGGATTGTAAGTGTGAGCCACTGGTGCCTGCTGACACTTTAGGGTTGAGACGGGGCTCAGAGGGATGCCGGGGCCTTCCACAGACAGGGAACTTCACCTTCCGTCTGATGACATCAACCGTGACTTTATTCTGTTTGCTCCAGATGGCCCGGATATCCCCATCATATCCCCCCCAAGCTCATATTTTGGTCAAGGGACCAACCTCAGCCTCTCCTGCCACACAGCCTCTAACCCGCCTGCACAGTACTCGTGGCTGTTCAATGAGAGGCCTCAGTCATCTACACCAGCACTCTTTATCCCCAACATCACTGTCAACCATAGTGGATCTTATGCCTGCTTCGCCTATAACTCTGTTACTGGCCTCAATAGCACCACAGTCAAGAATATTATAGTCCTTGGTAAGTGGATTCCTAGGACATCAGCTCTGGAATAGTCTGGTCTCTGAAGAAGTTAATTCTAGACACAGGCAATCCCTCCCCTGAGCCTCCAGCTCTACTGCTGAGATTTGCTTCTTTCTCATGGCTGGCTGACGTGGGGGTCCCATCCTGGGTCTCCTAGACCCAAAAAGTCCCAGGTTGGGAGGGGGGCTCTCAGGAGAAGAGAAATAGGGTCTTTGTCAAGTAGCTTCTTTCTGCCACTAAATCAACCCTTTCTATGGCTTCTTCTGTTTTCTTTAACTTCTTTTGTGATCAAAGAGTTTTCTCCCCTGAATGAGGAAGGGAGGAACCCCATCAGATGGTTGGGGGGGAGGGTGGGGGAAGAGCAGCGGCTTGGAGCTCTGCTCCCAGCTCTGTCTCTGTCTCATTGGGTGACTGGCAGGGCGGACTCCACAGGGGCTGAGATGGGGCAGGTATGGAAGGTACCTATCTTAGATCTGGCTAATCTTGAAGTTAAAGTCAGTGTCTCTCAGCTGCACCTGACTGGGAACCCCAGCACACGTGGTGCACATGGGAGAGCGGGAGGGATGCTGGCAGGAAGGGCAGGAAGCTTTGCCAGGGGTGGGAAGGGCAGTGCCAGTGAGTCTATTTGTAAGAACGATGCGAATGCCAGGCTTTTGTGCACCCGGTGACCGTTCACCTCTATGGCTCTCAGTCATTGTGCTGTTTAATCTACAGATCAGGAAATAAAAGTCCTCTCCAAACAATAATTCTTTAGTTTGGAGTTTCTCCCGATCCTGAGCTCATGAAGACTGAGTCATCTGAGTTCCCTGACAAAGTATTCAATGAAGAGAGAGAAAATAACCGCCCCCTTCCCTCTCAATATAAACCTACTTTATTTCCCAGAGATCACTGGGAAAGGGTTGCACAAAAGTCTGTGGGGGAAAATGTTTCGCCTGACTGTGGGTCTTTGGTAGCGTGGGCTGTGGAACCCACAGAGCTGATGGGGCTCTGGTCAGAGGGTCACCCTGGACGATCTGGGGGGTTCAGAGGGAGGTAATAGCAGGGTCCTTATTAATCATCAGGCAACCACTGCAGAGAGGGTGAGGGCCTTACTGTGGGCCCTGGGCTAAGCTCTCTGAGGATGGGCTGCCTCAGTGGTCTTTTCCCTCTGTCTGTCTACAGAACCGGTGACGCAGCCCTCCATCCAAGCCAGCAACACCACGGTCACAGAACAGCAATCTGTGGTCCTCACCTGCCACTCTACAGACCCTGGAATCACGATCCGGTGGCTCTTTAATGAACAGAGTCTGCCGCTGACCACGAGGACGAAGCTGTCCAAAGACAACAGCACGCTCAGTATAGACCCTGTCAGACGGGAGGACAGCGGGGAGTACAGGTGTGAGGTCTCCAACCCTGTCAGTTCAAGGAAGAGCAACCCTCTCAGGCTGGATGTGAATTGTAAGTCGCCCCTCCTCTCCCTGTGTAATTTACTGGGGGGGGGTGGAGGGGCGGCAAAGGCAGGGGAATTTCTTTACCATGGGTGCAGAAATGGATAAGTCACAGGGAAAAGAACAGGAAGTAAGCCAGGCACCAGTGGCTCATGCCTGTAATCCCAGCTATTCAGGAGGCGGAGACTCTGAGGCTCCAAGGTTCAGTGTCAGCATTGTGTTGGTTAATTGCAAGTGGAGTCTTTTTTTTTCATTCATTTATTTATTTATTCATTCATTCATTCATTGCCAGTCCTGGGGCTTGAACTTAAGCGCCTGGGCGCTGTCCCTGAGTTGCTTTTGTACTCTACCACTTGAGCCACAGCGCCACTTCCTCAGTTCCATTGAGGAATGGAACCCAGGGCTTCCTGCATGCTAGGCAAGCACTCTATGGACATTAAGCCACCTCCCAGCCCCTCTTTTTCTTTTTTTGATCAGGCTGGTTTTGAACTGAAATCCTCTAGGTCTTGACCTCCTGAGTAGCTAGCGTTAATTACAGGCATGAGCCACGGTGCCTGGCTCCATCTCTAGGTTATTTCTAATACCTGATGCAATGCTATATAAATAGTTGTTGGGTTATACTATTCAAAGAATGGTGAGAGAAAAGGGTACATTTTTTCAGTGCAGACACCATTTTTTGACAAAAGCAAAACAAACAAAAAGACATGAAGCAGTTACTAAGGTTGGAACTCAGGGCTCATATTTTCTAGGCAGTCACTCAACCACCGGGCCACACCTCCAACAGCACTTTATACTGGTTGTTTTGGGGATAAGGCACACACATGCCTGTGACCAGGCCCGGCTCCTCTCCATTGCAGTGGAGTCTCACAGACTTTAATGGCTGGGTTGGCCTTGAATTGCAATCCTCCTGATTTCAGCCTCCCATGTAACTAGGATGAATGACTTCTTAGTTCTAGAAGTTTCTGCAAGATCCTTACAATTTTTTACCTGCAAGTTCATGCCACTGAGCATAATTTTATTTTTGTAGGTCAGTCTAGGACTTCTAATAGTATATTGAACAGAGGGGCTGATAGGCTGGTACCCCTCTATCATTTCTGATCTTAGAAGAAAGCTTGTGAGTCTTTCACCATTGAGTATGAAGTTGGCTGTAGGATTTCTAGCTATGACTTGTATTTAGTAAGGTAGTTTCTCTCTAACTAGGTAGAATACTTCGTCATAAAAGGATGTTATTTTTGTCAAGTGCTTTTGCTAGTTATGGATGGATTCAATTTTCTATTTTTTCATGATTTTACTCGGTGGGTTTTGTGTTTCTAGGGATTTGTCCATTTTATCTAGGTTATTCAATTGTTGCAGATGACAGGTATGTGATACTCTTAGAATCCTTGGTGCTCTAAATAGTACTAATGCTTCCTGTTTCATTTCTAGCTTTAGTGATTGTGTGGGGGGGGGGTAGGGGTGCCAGTCCTGGGACTTGAACATAGGGCCTGGGCATTGTTACACTCTTTTGTGCTCAAGGCCAGTACTCTACCACTTGAGACCACAGCTGCACTTATGGCTTTTGTAGGGGGAGAGAGTTAATTGAAGATAAGAGTCTCGTGGACTTTCCTGCCGTGGCTGGCTTCGAACCACAATCCTCAGATCTCAGCCTCCTGATGAACTAGGATTATAGGCTTGAGTCCTTGGCACCTGGCAAGACCCTCTTTTTTGAATGTAAAAATGCACTTCTCTAAGTCACTTCTCCAATATTCTTAACCTCTTCAGCAACGTGCCACACAGAGGAAGTGTTTCTAAACATTAGCTGCTGTTCACACTGAGGTTCTTGTTAGCCACAGTCAGGCGGCCAGATCTACCTTCTACTCCCACCGCTCCCAGCCTCTGTTTCCATCCGTGAGATGGAAAGAGCATTTACCTGACGGGGTTAGCGTGTAGATCAACTGTGAGACACAGACTAGCACACAGTAAGGAGCTTGGTCCTCATAACCATAGCCAATGTGAATTGTCAGCTTTCAGCTGGCTGTGGGCAGAGGCCCAAATAGTTGTAATTGGGATAAAGAAGAAACAGATGCAAAAAAAGTATTGGGGGGGGGGAGGAGAAGAGAGAACTTTATACCAAAAATAAAATCACCAAATAAACCTGGGAGAGATTAAAAAAAAAAAAAAGCCGGGTAGTGGTAGCCTATAATCTTAGCTACCAGGAGGCCAAGCTCTAAGGATCACAGTTCAAGACCAGTCTGGGCAGGAAAATCCATGGAAGTCTTATCTCCAATTAACTCTCCCAAAAAGCTGGAAATGGAGCTGTGGCTCAAGTGATACAGTGCTAGCCTTGAACAAAAGGAGCTTAAGGACAGCACCCAACCCTGAGTTCGAGCCCCAGGACCAGCAAAAATTAAAAAAAAAAAAAAAGAGTTAAGTGCAAACTTTCTAGTCTGGTAGATGAGTTTGGATCTGCTGAGGTGCAGTCACAGTGGGATTGGACATAGCAGCTTAATTGGGGGAAACACCTCTGAGGAGGAAGGCCTGGGAGAGGCCTCAGACCACAGTACAGTGAAAATCCCCAGGACAATGAAAGAGCAGAAGGGCGCTTTCACCAGCAATGTTTCTCAAGGTTGGTGTGAATTCTTGAGCCAAAGCTGTCCATCCGAAAGAGAAAAAAACAAACACACAAACAACAAAAAATGAACAAACTGTCTTTCAGAACTGCATTTGCTTGGTTTTTTGGTGTTTTTTTGCCCATCCTGGGGCTTGAACTCAGGGCCTGGGCACTGTCCCTCAGTGTCTTTTGCTCAAGGCTAGTGCTCTACCACTTGAACCACAGTGGTACTTTGAGCTTTTTCTGTGTATGTGATACTGAGGAATTGAACCTAGGGCTTCATGCATGCTAGGCAAGTACTCTACTACTAAGCCACATTCCTAGAGCCCCCTGAACCTGCTTTTCTAGCCCTCCTAGGAGCCATGGAATCACAGTCTCTTGTGCAGGGGATGTGCTGAATTCAGGGTGCACAATATGGGCCTCTGTCCATTTAGCCCTTGAGACAGGTGACCCCATACACACACCAGATCCATATTCCTGGCTATCACAACAGGGACACTGAGAAAAAAGATGGGACTATGAAGAAGTAAAGAAAGTACAACAAACACACAGCAATCCACCCTTCTCTCACCCCCAAACCTTCTACTGAGTGTAGAAAGGCCAAGATGGGATGGAGGGAAGGCTGATGAGTAATCTAGAGCCACCAGGAGTTGTAAAAGGACCTACTCTGTTAATCACCCTTCACCTCACCTCCTCTGATCAACCCTCCCACAGAAATTACCTCCCTGAAGGCACAAATGGCCCATACTTTGTGCTGAGAAGTGTTTTCCACGACTCCCTCACTGACAAATAATTTCACCTCCATGTCTTCTCTTTTCTTCCCGTGACAGATGACCCAACACAATCAAGTTCTGACCTTTCCCCTGGGGCCATTGCTGGCATCGTGGTTGGAGTTGTGGCTGGCGTGGCTCTGATAGCAGCCCTGGCATATTTCCTGTACTCCAGGAAGACTGGCGGGTATGATGGCTTTTCTTCTCCTTCCGTTTTCTCCATGTCAACTGCCATGCATGAGAGGGGGAAGGAGCTCTTTATCTCTTCCACTGGGCTGATGGCCTCCTTTTGCTAAACTTCCTGCTTTCTAGCACTCATACCTATGGATCTCCAGGCTCCCTGTCTTCATACTTTGTCTCGTGGATGTGGCTAGTCCAGTTCTGATCGACTCTACAGCAAACTGATCCAATTATGTTCCTCTGCCCCGTCCCACCCCCATCCTACTTGGGAAGCAAAGAGCTAAGAAAGAAAACAGATGAGGAAATAAAAAGAGCAGCATGAGAAAGCCAATCCCATGTTCTGTCGACCACAATAGCAGGAGGAGGAGGGAGGAGGAACAAGACAGGAAGAGAAGCTGAGAGAATGCAGACACATTAAAGTGTGAGAGGACAGATAAAATCCAAAGTCTATCTGTGAAATACAAACTTAGGAGAGATGTTAAACAGGCTCAGAAGCAGTTAGAAGAAGAAAGGCCTGGGGCTGGTGGCTCATGCTTGTCAGCTTTTTCATCCTAGTCACTCAGGAGGCTGAGAACTACAGATTGTGGTTCAAGGCCAGCCTGAGCAGGATAGTCCATTTATCTCCAATGAACCACCAGAAAACCAGAAGTGGTGCTGTGGCTCAAAGTGGTAGAGCACTCACCTTGAGCAAAGGAGCTCAAGGACAGTGCCCAGGCCCTGAGTTTAAGCTCCATGACTGACCCCCCCCCCACACACAAAGTCAGACAGAAGATGGACAGGACATCTCACCGACAGGAAAGGAACAACAGGGATTGTGCAAGACCCAAGAATGAGGAATGCTGGCAAATGAATATGACAGTGTCCAGAGATTATCTTCTGGCCCCTGCCTTCCAGGCTCAGGGAGCAAAGGTCTTTGTTCTTGGGGAATAGCAGTCACAGTGTCTGATATTTATTTAGGGCAAGCAACCAGCGTGATCTCACAGAGCACAAACCCTCAGCCTCCAGTCACAGTAAGTAAGCCAATTCACCCCTGTGAGAAGGGGGTACGTACCACCCCCTGCCCCACCCTGGCAGCCAATCGTGGAGTCACAAATCACTCGTTGCTTTCTAAATTTTCACAGAAGTGATCTCTTCTTCCCAGTCCTTAAGTTGGCAGAGGGCTTCATGCCCCTCTTAAGCCACTCTACCTAAGCTAGGTAGGCCTGAGGGAACCAAGTTTGCAAGCCCCATCTCCTCGCCCTAACTCTTTCCCTCCTGCCTCTGTTGTGGACCTGGGCATTCTCCCTTGGTGAGACTTTCCTTGTCTTATGGGTGCTCTGGGTGCTGTGGGTCTCAATGCCCCTCTTTGCCATTGGGCCATGTTGTTAAGAAACACATGTGGGCAATAAATAATAATAAAAATGAAGGTCTTGTAGTGGATATTACATTTCCAGAGGTGAGCTTGCAGCCTCTGGCCCCTAACCACCAGCACCAGCACCAGCACCAGCACCACCACCACTATTACCACCACTACCACCAGAACCACCAGCACCCACTACCTTCTACCTCTTCAAGCTAGAAAATACAAGGTCTTAACTCAGCTTTGCAGTCCCAAAGGTTGCTAAGTCTTGGTTTGCTTCTCCAGGTCCGGAAATTTCTCGTGATGATGCTCCTAACGAGGTAAGCACAGAAAGTTTCATGGGCTTTTTGTTTCCCCCGACAGAAAATCTCTCTGGAAAGAATGGATTAGACTTGAAGGCAAATATGAGTGAACTTTGGGTCTCATTTCCTCAAGGCAACAGGAGAGTAATGGGTTACTCACTCTTGTGTGCAGTATCTTAGAGCAAGACTGTATAATTGTAGTCGGGCATTGGTAACATACACCTGTAATCCTAACTACTCAGGAGGCTGAGATCTGAGGATCACAGTTTGAATCCAGCCTGGGCAGATAAATCTTCATTTAACCAGAAAAAGACCTGGAGTAGAGCTGTGGATCAAGTAGTAGAGTATCAGCCTTGACTGAAAAAGCAAAGCAAGAGCATGAGACCCTGAATTCAAGCCTCAGTAGCAATGTGAGCGCGCGCATACACACACACACACACACACACACACACACACACACACACACACACAC